AAAAGAAAAGAAAAGAAAAGAAAAGAAAAGAAAAGAAAAGAAAAGAAAAGAAAAGAAAAGAAAAGAAAAGAAAAGAAAAGAAAAGAAAAGAAAAGAAAGAAACAAGAATAGTTCAGCGGGACCTGGGGAGCAAAGACTAGAGAGCTCCTTAAGATGATGATACACATGTCTCCACTAATTACTCAATGCCGTCAGTGATGACTGTAAGCTAGGCAAGAAAAACTAATTATATAGTACACTGAAAGTTCCAGAACTGCCCCCCCCCCCCAGTCCCTGTATTCACCATGACTCACGGACTTCACTGTGTCATTTTTCTATTCTCTGCTGAGTAGAGCAGGAAGGCTTGGTAGGATAGATGAATGAGGGATAGTGAGAAATGATCTTGCTAGCTTTGCATGAGCAAAGGCACCATGAGTCCATTTGACTCCCCCACAATCTCACAGGGGTTCCGGGAGCACATCTTCACTTGCTGGCATTAGCCAGTAACATGTCTTGAGTCAGAGAGACAGACAGACCATTGCTTTGTTATAGATGGACTTCCCAGACCTGCACAGACTCTAGCTCAAGCGCAATACCCAGAAGAACCTCCCACAACTTCAACATTCTAAGCTACCTTAGTAAAATCTGTTTCAACCAGTCAGGATCCATCTCAATTGTACACAACTACATATGCTAGCTGATAAAACCATTTAGAGGTCGTTTGCCATTTGCCCTTCATCTCCTCCCCCCCCACCCCAATTCTTAGTATGATTTAATGGATGTGTAAATCTCTGACATCTACATTAAACCCTATGGCCAGAACATGTAGAGTTGTTGTATGTTTTCTGTATTGCTTTGATTATCCTTCCTATCTAGAAAAAGGCTTGAAATTCTTGTTCAACTTTTGTAGGTATTTGGGGGGATAGGATAGCCAGAGTAGTCATAGAAGGTTATCTCCGATCTGTAACATTCTGTTTTTAGTGCAGTCAATGCACTGTTATCTATGCAACAAAATGCATGTAGATAGACAATAGTAAAACTGTAGCCCAAGTACAGGCCTAGCACTCATGCATTCAATTAATGCTTACTGGGAGAATGGTAAAATGATTATTTCAATGTTTTCACAATGCTGTTTTATAGACAATGAAGATAAGACTGGAACAGCACTTATCTGTAACTCTGCTTTTTATGTGTATTCTGATGATACATGAATTTAGTACATTGATTTTTTTTTTGAACAATTTACACAGAGTTACAACAGTTTTATCAGTTTTCATGTCAGATCTGTTGCTTAGGCATACCAGGTTAAATATTTATAACATAGAAGTTACTCTCCCCGTGTGTGTGTGTGTGTGTGTGTGTGTGTGTGTGTGTGTGTGCATATCTATGTGTCTGTGTATGTATACATGCATATACATGTGTGTTTATATGTGCATATATATAAATATATGGAACAGATATGCCTAAAGAACTAATCTCTGCCTTTCACACACTTGACAGAATCTGGATAAAAGGAAGTTGTTCCAGACAGCTATAGAAGCTATCTGGGAATTTCCCTAAGTCTTGAAGTTTTATGAACATTTAAGCACATTTGATAATTCAGGTGAAAACAGTTTCACACACAAACTGTTTTCACCCAAAAATGTTTCCAACTCAATGCAATTATCACTGTCCACTCTGTCACTGTGTAAGAGACACCCTCCCCATTACTAGGTCAGGACTGTCTGGCAAACACTGAGGCAGTGTGACACAGAGAAAGGACAGAGGACTTGGAGGTAGGCAGAGCTGGCCTGGAAAATGTATGGACAAGAGGGCCTGTGTGTCCATGTGGACCATCCTGGCTGCCCATTGCCTAGAGATAGAAACACTTCCTTCCTTCCTAGGGACACCATTTCAAAGTGAATGAGAGCTCTGTGAAGAGCCATGAGCTGCTTCATGACAAGGGTGGAGAATAAACATTGAATTATTAAATCTACACATTATAATTCATTTCTTTTTGGCCCAGAAATAAATACTTCACTGTCCACTCAGGATGCTGAGTGGACAACTAACTTAATAATATATGAAAAGTATTAAGTGCTGAAAACCCTGACAATTAGTTTCGAAGTTCTGTATTATTTTAATCTTAGTGATTTAGCCTTTGGCTTAAATTAAAAATGTTCCTTTATACATTCATTTATTACTTAAGTCTTCTGAATTCCAAAAGGATTTAAGGGGCTTAAAATGAAAGCAGGGGGGGCTAAGGAGATGGGTCAGCAGGTTAGTGCTTTTTACACAAGCCTGAGAACCTGAGGTTAACCCCCAAGTTCCTGTACCAAATGCTGCACATGGCTGTGTAACCACAGCACATGGGAGAAAAGATAGGAGGATCCTAGGACCCTAGGACTTGCTGCCCATCTGCCTAGTGCCAGATTCAGTGAGAGACCCTGGCCCAAGAGGATAAGGTCAAGAGTGACAGAACAGGACATTTGACGTCCTCTTCTGGTCTCCTTGTGTGCACATAGATAAACCACCTGGGGAGGGGGGCTAACTTGAGTGTGGTGGTGTTATGGATATAGTTCTGTATGCTGTGAATGTATTGCTCTGATTGGTTAATAAATAAAATGCTGATTGGCCAGTAGCCAGGCAGGAAGTATAGGTGGGACAAGCAAAGAGGAGAATTCTGGGAACAGGAAGGCTGAGGCAGAAGTCACCAGCCAGATACAGAGGAAGCAAGATGTGAAGGCAGAACTAGGAAAAGGTACCAAGCCACGTGGCTAAACATAAATAAGAATTATGAGTTAATTTAAAATGTAAGATCTAGCTAGGAAAAAGCCTGAGCCATTAGGCAATACATTTTTAATTAATATAAGTCTCTGTGTGTTTATTTGGATCTGAGTAGCTGTGGGCCCGAGCAGAACTGGAGAAAACTCTGGCTACATGGTGGCTCATACCTATAGTCCCAGCACAGCAGAGGCTGAGGCAGGAGGATTGCAGTGAGTTACAGGCCAGCCTGGGTTATAAAGTAGGGATGTGTCTTTAGGAAACAACAAGAAAAGAAATTAATGAATGAAAAGAAGGGAACTCTAATCAAATCATTTTGAGGATGTAGTAAAAATTAAGCAATTGTTAAGAAAACTATGTTGGGCCAGGCAGTGGTGGCACTCGCCTTTAATCCCAGCATTTGGGAGGCAGAGCCAGGTGGATCTCTGTGAGAAAGAAAGAATGAAAGTAAGAAAGGAAGGAAGGGAGGGAGGGAGGAAGGGGAGAGAGGGAAGCTCCCTTCCAACAACCGCTGGATTACTGAAGTTATCTGTCATAGGCCCATGAAATTTCCCCCAGATTATGCATCCAATTTGCTTTAAATATGAGGCAGAGAGGTGCAAGTCACCATAATGGAAGCAAGATGTAAAAAAAAAAAAACTCTACTCATCTGTCCAGAAAACCATTACAACCTATACACTCTTCCTGCCTCTATGGGAACTCCAATGGAAGGGAACTATAACAAAATCCAAAAGGGAAGAGGAGAAACGGACCTTTGAACCCACGTGGCCAATCACAGAACATGTTTACTCCGCCATGATTTATCTTCCATTAGTCAGCAGCAAAGAATCTTGGGAAAACAAGTATCTTGTTCGAGGATGTCAGAGAGGAGCAAAATAATTCAACATCCACCAGTAACTTTGAGCAAAACACAAATGTTTCCTTCCTGGTTCTGGACAATAACTCCTCATATGGGAGACCACTGGGATCAAGAGTGAGTCTCCAAAACACCGGACCCTCACTGGTTTGCTGAGAACTGGGGCTGGGGCTGAGCTGCAGGTCATGCTCCTTGGAGAAGATGGGAGTAGAGATGATGGAAGATCCAATTCTGGCAAGGGAGGTACCCTCTCAGGCAGTCTCACAGCACAAAGGCCGAAAGGTTTCAGGCTTAGGGCTCAAGGGGGACACTGAGGTGTATTGTTCTCTTTATAGGTTTATTAAAAGAGCTATTAACACCATGGAGACAGACAGCAGCAGGGCAGGGCACTGAGGGAAGGGCAGAGTTACATGGCAGAGCAGGAACAGGGTAGGAAGGAGATTGGAAAATTTCCCCTTTCAGTCCCCAGCTGGCCATTGCTAGAGGTGACCAGTGAGTGCTCTATTAAAGAATATTAGATGATGAATAAATATCTTTTCTAGCCAGCCATTACTATGGATTGGTGGATCAGGAAAGAAAAAAAAAAATCTAGAGAAACAAGTTACCTCAGCTGTGGAAGTGCAAATCACTATCGTTACTGAAGTTATCACAGCTTAACCCAAATGGAGGAAATGACAAAACGACATGGCCCTCACTAGCAATGATGACACTTGGAACCTTTGCTTCTACTTTTTCCTTAAAATGCCCGAGACCAGTGATTGTTCCAGTTGATTGGGCTGTGTGAAATTTATCCCACAATTTAAACTACAATCCTGTTACTTTCCTCACAGTTTTGAGGGTCAGGAATGTGGGGAAGGCTGGGCTAAGTAGCTGTCACATGAAGTCTCTCGTGTGGTTGGATTTGAATGTCTCCCCAGGCTATGGCCTCGAAAGCCTTGCCTGGACAGCCATCCATGATTGCTCAATCATGCATCTGCCATCTGCCCCTGAGCAGGCTGGGAGTGCTGTGGCCCCCATCCATCCTCGACAGAACAGCCTTGTAGGGTCTATGTCTCACTGCTTCCTTGGAGAAGGACTTCTCCTTAGACTAAGAGTGAGCAATTCAAAGCCACATGGCCTCATCTGACCCATCCTTGGCTGTCAAAGGTACTGTACACTATGTTTTATTCATTCCAAATCACTGAGGTATGCCTAGATTCAAGAGCAGGGAGAGGTTGATCCTGTCAATGGTAAGAGTGTAAAAGAATCACTGACATATTTTTAAACTATTATTTTCAGCCTTGTCTTTCTTTTCCTTTCTCGGTAGTCCTTTCGAGGGGTGTATCCCCTACTCTTCACTGAATTGGTAGGGCATTCCATGACCCATCTAAAAGAAGCATGTCACGGAAATACTAACTGAAGCTTCAAGCAGTTGGTAATAAACCTTTAACTTGCATTTCTGTATACTGTTTATAGTAATCAGTGCTTGCTCAGCAAACATGAATTATCTGCTGGACACTGCTATTCATTGACATAGGAAGAGAATAAGAAATTATTCAGTTTGTAGTATTTAAAATTCAAAGTGTTGCCCCTTTTTGCCACATAGAAAATTTAAATCCTAAAGTATTTTTAGTCTTGCCATTCACAAACCTGAATACTTAGTTTTCTGGTATATCATAATCTCTTTACTTTATTTCTAATGTATGCTTCTCACAAAAGTGTAACTTAATTAGTGTCACAAATTAGTTTAGAATACTCCCATATGCCTTTGATAGAATTAGTTTTATTCATATTTTCAGTATAGGTTCATATTTAGCACAACTGAAACACTTAGAAATTTTTGTAATATTTACTATAAAAGAAATTGTAATAAAGATATCCGTCTAGGTGTGGTGACACAGGCTTCAGAGGCAGAGATAGGTGAATCTAAGTGAGTTTGGGGCTAGCCTGGTCTACATAGCAAGTTCCAGGCCAGCTAGGGATACATAGTAAGACCCTCTCTCAAGAAAAAAAGAAAGACAGACAGACAGACATCAGATACCATCTGAACATCCTGAGGTCATCTAGGTTTTCAACATGATTTGAAAACATGAACAATGGATAAATATATGAGCTGATAACTAAAAGTACAACAGTGTGTGTGCGTGCATGTGCGTGTCTGTGTGAAGTCACAAGTGTTGATACACGAAAACCATATAGTAATACCTGCTTTCTAGGTGCGTAAGCTCCGAGGCAGCACACACATCCTCCCTACTCCAAGGGAAGAGCAATGTAAAGTTCTGACAAAGGGTGAATTTAATTCTGCTCTACTGCTGCTGGGCTCTAGGAACCTGCTCACCAGATCAGGACAGCCTTCATAAGGCTTGTGCCGGTAAGGACAAAAGCAGTCCACTCTTACTTATTGGAGACCTTACATTTATTCCAGTACATCTGAAAGGTGGAAATAAAATTGTCATTTCATTTCTCCCTAGGCATTTATTATGTAGGTTGAGAAAGAGCCGCATGGAGGCAGAAACAAAGCAAGATCTTGGAGCAGCACACGGAGGTGTTTTCTGTAACAGGTGCTCGGTGTGCGTTCTCTGAACAAACGGACGTTTGAGCTAGAGAATAAATACAAAGTGTCTTGAGGAAAAAGTATGACTTTGCCTTACTTTACCAAATAAACACCCAGCAAGGTAGTTGATGCCAAGATGAGAAAGCATCTCTTCCCGGGCTTGCTATGTGTGTCCAGCTCTCAAAAGAAACAAAATGTTTTCCATAGTTTTAAGGTGACATCAAATCCACAGCACAGCACTGGTTCCTTACGACCTAGGGTCTTACCAAAGACTCTTGGCTTTTGTCCAGAACTTTTTTCTTCCCAACAAGCTGGTTTCCTAGTGCTTCCACAGCTCTGGAAATCCCGTGGGACACTCACAGCTGCTACAGTTTCAAAAGAAGTTGAAGAAGTAACCCCACCTTTCCACAAAGAAGGCTTTCAAACAGCACTCTCGTCACGGCAAACTGTGAAAACTCTTCTCTGTTTCAGAGCTGAATGGCCCCTGAGCAGCCTAGATCATGTCCTAAAATCTTGTGACCCAGAAAGGTCCTGAGAGCAAACAATGATAATGAAACTGGATGAATATTAAGCATTTTCTAACCAATAGTGAGAATTTTTCTTGTATTTTCTTACTTTATCTAACAAGAAGACCACAATTTTGATAATACTTTTCTTCCTATTATTACCATTTTGCAGAAGAAGATAAGATGTTGCAGATCCAATGATTTGCCCAGGGACACAGAGCCTGTAAATGACAAAGTTGGAATTCAAGCCACCATCTAGTGGGAAAGCATCCCTAAGCTTCCTTTTTCCAAGTCCGTTTTATTGTTTACTATTCTGAATTTAAAGAGAAGTTGAAACAGCATCCCAGTGATGATGTTTACTTACTTAACACCTGATCATGGGTATGATGTATGCGGTTTTCCTCCTCCTCCTGTCTCACTACATACCTGATCTGTGTTTCAAAGTGTAAATAATGAAGAGGGAATAAGAGTGAAATGTACCACACAACACACACACACACACACACACACACACACACACACACACACACACACTTATACCTCACATATGTATAGCCTGTCTACCACACAACATTCAATACATATATATGAGATATATTATACATACATGTAATATATAATGCATACCATCCATGCCATGTGCAAACACAGCCTACATACAACACACACACACACACATATATATATCCATACAACTTACATACATACAATGTACATACTCTTGTTAACCTATGTAAAAATAAATTGTAGACTTTATGACATGTTACCACTAAACCATTTAGCACACACTTTCTAATAATAAAGATAGTCTCCATCAAATCATAGTATCATTGTCTAACAAAATTAAAATAATTTTCATGAAGCCACCTAACACATAGGCCATATAAAATATGAATATTTTTCCATAGTAGTTAAACAGATTTAACAGATAGAGAGAGATCTACACAGGAGATTGGTGGCTGCTTTCAGTCAGATCATAATAATACAACTAAAACTGAGTGTCTCTACATGGGTTCTGAGACGTAAATACAGAGTTCTTTAAGGGGGCCGCTCTACTGGATGTACCTATTCTGAACATTGGAATTTTCACTCTAAACACTTATGTATGGTTTGCTTGCCCCAGACGCTCATTTATAATAGTTCCTGGAGAGCTGTTCACCCTGAGATTTTATGAAGCTAACAGTAACAGAAAGAATAAACAGTTTGTGACTCACTCTGGCTGTGTGCTCCAAACGTCAAACATGTAGAAGGAACTTCGAAGAGTGGGACATAAATTAAATGACTGGGAATACCGAGAAGAGGGGGGCCTTCCCCGCGCTGACTCCGTCTCATAGCAGGATGATGGACTCCTGGATTAAGCTGAAGGCCAAACAAAGGTGTACGATGTCTACATAGAGCTGATGTGGAGGCAGAAGAGGGAGGCAGCATTGAGAAACATTGTTACCACCATAGCAGTGAAGTTGCGGTCCCTTGGCCGGGGGTCAGGGAGACCTGAAGAGAAGAGAACAGGAGAAAAACTGATGCTAATGACCAGTGAGCACAATTTAAGCCATCTTAACCCTGTTTCATCTAGAAGAGAGCTGGCACAAACTATTGAATTTTCCACCTGCCAAATAAAATGCGAGACATAGGACTTTATTTAAGTAACTGGAAAGAGAGCGTGGCTCCCCCTTCCTCTTCTTGTCCAAGACAAGAAGGCCACATGTCCTCTATGAACATGTGGCCTCCTCTTCTGTCTGGATGTCTGTCTAATGTCCCTCTGACTCTCTCATGAGGGCATTTGTGAAGGCATTTGATCCCACCTGGGTTATCGTCTATCTCATAACCCTTAATCACACACGTGAGAATCCTTTTTCTTTTCGTTTTGTTTTGTTTTGAGACAGGGTCTTGCTGTGTAGCTCTGACTTGCCTGAAACTCTCTGTAGACCAGACTGGCCTCAAGCTTACCTACCTCTGCCTCCCAAGTGCCCAGATGACCATTTTCTTTACAAGGCTACACTGCTGTTATCTTGGGAGCTGTGTTCTGCGCACAGGATTAGAATGGACACCAGTGGCCTAAGAAATCTAAAGGCAATCAGCTTTAGAGGGTTCCAGAACTATAATGAGATGAACTCCCTATGTTTCTTTAACAAATAAGCTTGACTGCCTTCTTTACAATGTATTTCCCTCTTCCATATAAATTTAATATGGAAAAAACAAGAAAAAAGCAAGGAGCCCTAAGAGAGGCTTTGAGCCAGCACAGTGACTCATGCTTACAGTCCCTGGACTTGGGAGATGGGGGCAGGAGGTTCAGGAGGTTCAGGAGTTAAGGTTGTCTTCAGCTACACAGGGAGTTCAAGGTGAGCTTGGGTTGCATGGGACCTCGTCTCAAAAGCAAATGAACAGACAAAGAGAGGTTTGGCAGAGGCTTTGAGATTTCATCTTTAGCACCTTTTGTCTTTAAGGGTGAATTTTCACAATCCATTACTTCACGGAGTGGTTTTCAATGATTTCTAAATTGTTATATTGCTTGAGGACATAATTTAGCCTGTTTTTTAACTTTGTTTTTATTTATTCTTTGTATTTTTCATATCATGCCTCCTGATCCCACCCATCTCCCTCACTCCCAGAATAAAACAAAATAAAATTTAAGAGAAAAAGTGGGGGAAAGGGAAGATCTTGTCATGGAAGCTGCGGTGTGACACAGCGAGTCACGCAGTAAACTCCTTTATCCATGCATTTTTACGTGCAAGTGTTCATCGCACAGAAATCACTGGTCTGATGCGAGGCCCCTGGTCTCTGCTACACCATAGAATCTGGGCCCTCACTGGGACTCTTCCTCAACATCCTGTTGCTGCCTGGGTTGTGGAGATCCTGGAGCCCTGGCAGGACAGACACTCACTCCACCTTCACTCCACCCCACCCGGTCTCCAGCAGATCACAGATCTCCAGCGTTACCCTGGGATCACTTGCAGAGATGAGCAAGGGGCGGGGCCGGCTCTCCTGCTCTAGCATCCTCAGGGGCGGTTCTCCTGCACCTATACCTTCAGACCCAGGAGGGGTACAGGGGCCACTCTGCCAAGTGTTGCAGCTGATGAGGGGCAGGGGCAGGTCTCCCACTCTTAGGACCTCAGGACCAGCTCTTCCACCTGCCTCAGGCATTGATGGGCACGGGGCAGGAAGGTGTTCCTCTCCCTCACTCATGCTGCCACAAGACAGATGAGTAGCCCAGCGGTGGTGGTGGTGCACGCCTTTAATCCCAGCACGAGGCAAAGCTAGGCAGATCTCTGTGAGTTCGAGGCCAACCTGGGCTACAGAGTGAGTTCCAGGAAAGGCGCAAAGCTACACAGAGAAACCCTGTCTCCAAAAAAAAAAAAAAAAAAAAAAACAGATGAGTAATGGGGACAGTCTCCCACGCTCACTTCGAGGCTGTCTCACCCACACCTCCACCAACAGGGTCAGCTCTACTGTGCTGCCTTGGGGAGGTGCAGGGTCTACTTTCCTGAGTGCTGCAGCGGCAGATAAGGGGGAGGGTCTGTCGCAGGCAGTGAGGGGTGAGGGGCTGTCATTTTTTTCAAGGATGATTAGCTCCACATTCCATGTGCTACAGGAACTCCCGGACCCTGATTCTGTATCTTAGGGGCTTACAATGGCTCCTTTTGCACTGCCGTTTTACACTCCTTTTCCAGGGAGTGCCGCACAGCATAACGAACGGTATAGTTCGAATCCAAATGCCTCCCCACTGGTTCGTATGTTAGTCTTTCATCCCAGGCTCGTGGCACTGCGTGGAAGGCTGTGGTGCCGTCAGGAGGAAGGGCTTGGTCGGTGGAAGTCGGCCACTCCGGTAAGCCTACGGAGTTTAGACTACCTGCCTGCTACCGTGTGGACAAGCAGCCATCTTCCAGTCCCCTGGCCACGTACTGAGCGATTCCACCACTATGCTTCTCCCACCATTGACAGACTTAAATCTCCGAAACTGTGACCCAAAATAAACCTTTTCCTCTCTGAACTCATTTCTGTCTGGCGTCTCACTACAGCAGTGAGAAAAGAAACTACCAGAGAGAACGTGCATACCGAGGTTCTACAGGACCCACCTGGTGGGCCAGGTGTAGTGGGGCATGTCTATAACCTCAGTGCTTAGGAAGCAGAGGCAGGCGGAGCTACAATTTGAGACCAGGATGGACTATACGGTGAGACCCTACCCCCCAAAAATGAATTTTAAAAAAGAGCGAATTAGCCTCCAGCCTCCACCCTGTGAGCAAGCATTCGTCCCTGTTTATTTAACACCCACAGTGAAAGCACACATAACTGTGTGGCTTCATAAACCACCATTCTAATAAGACAGCACCATCCAGTAGATAAATGAGCAAGCTGCGCTCTCCGGCCTTACAAGACCGGTTGCTGGATCCTTTCTGCCTCTTTCCATTGTCTCTTGCCTCAGATATTCCGGTCTCTGCCAAAATGCCTGGGCAGCTCCATAGTTCTTTCCGCCTTAGCCAAGGACCTTCTCCCGGGCCAGCTCATCGGTCCCAGCACTGTCTATCTGAGCCCTGGTGGTCCCGGCCTCTGCAGTCATGGGCACCAGTGCAGACAGAGGACAACAGGGCCTTTCCAGCCCAGGCATGAGTTGTGCAATTTCCTCCCACAAACCCTGGGACCCCAGAAACATCTGGGGGTCACTGCACATTCACTAACAGCTTTTTCCTGTCTCTATCTTAGGCTATGGAAGATTAGAAATTCTCAAGAATAAAGTAAAAGTTTTCACTCCCTTTCAAAGTTAAGAAAGAACTGATCACATACTAAAGGGGAAAAAAGGAACAGAAATGGAAAAACAATGGGTGGCCTTCCTTATCTGAAAACTACAGAAATCGTAGGCCCAACTACAGGATAGTTCTGGCGATTTATGAGAAAATGCCTGCAACTTGCATAACTTGGGGCCTGATATGAGGCAAACACTCAAAAATGTTAGCTTTGCTTTTCCTGTATTACATAACTTTATCCTCATTTGTCACTTAGCAAGTTGTCTGTCTGTCTGTCTGCCTATTTAAGTGTATGCACATGTGTGCAGATACTTGTAGAGGCCATAAAGGGCATCTGACTTCCCACAAAGCTTGACTAACAGACAGTTATGACCCATCAGATGTGGGTTCTGAGAACCCAATTCCAGTCCTCTGGAAGAGCAACAGGTGCTCTTAACTGCCAAATCACCTCTTCAGCTCCAAGTTGCTCAAACTTTAAATAGTACTTTATTCACAGAACTATTTCACAATGAGATGCTCACAGAGTGTAAGGAAGATTCTCTCTCTCTCTTTTTTTTTAGCTGTTATTGCTGTGATTATTATTGTTTGCTTGGATTTTTTTGTTTGTTTGTTTCATTTTCTGTTCTCTTTTGAGACAGGTTCTCAGTATGTAGCCCAGTCTGAACTTATAATTCTCCTGTCTCAGCATCTAGAGCACGTGGGTGATAGGTACCACCATGACCCACTGGGAATTTTCTTTGGAGTAAACAAATAAAAGTGGAATTACACAGGATAACAAGTATAAAAAGAGAGAGAAACTAAGATTGAGAGAAAATAAGACAAAGTAAGAAAAAAAGGTATAGAAGGTCTAAGCTGTGATACATCTTGACATCAGTAGGAGCAGGCCATACCTTATTAACATACTTCTTCAACTGGAGAAAAATAAGTGTATAACTCCAACCACTTACAAAATAAACTAAGAAGTGTCAGTAACAGGTTACCCAGCTACCCAGCAATGGAGCATACGGAGATACAATGGTAATACGCACTAATGTAGGCTCATAGTAGGGTTGCAGGGAAAGGGTTTTTGTACAATGTCACCTGCAATCTTCATTCTAGAAAGGTGGAATACACAATTAACTGGACAGGGAAAATCTCCAGCTCTCATCCAGAGAGAGCAACGACCTCCACAGATAACTACTTCACTAACACGCAAGCCTTGCTGTGCCCTGTGTCCTTAGAAGCGGGGTCATTGATACAAAGTGCTCTGGGCATTCATTACCTTTTGCTCTTAATGTATTTGTGGCAACCCTTTGTGTCAATACTTAAGCATCTCTACTATCATTTGTTAAGATTTTTGAATTGTTTTTAATGATGTGTATGTATGCGGGATATGTACACGTGAGTGCAAGTGGTCCTCAGAGGCTGGAAGGTAATGGTTGTGAGCCATCCGACATGGTGCTGGAAACCAAACTGGAATCCTCTGAAAGAGCAGTGCATGCCTTTAATCACTGAGCCACCTCATCTCTCCAGTCCCTATGCTGTCATTTTGGTATTTGCATAATATCACATAGTACAGGTATATTTAAGTTAATTTAACTAAACTCCAATAATGTTACATTAAATTATTCTCAAATTTCCTCTGTTACAAATAAATATTGTAAATACTTTATTAAGAAACAGTAGATGAACCTAAATTGAAGACATTCTAAAAATTAACAACTACCGTTTTTCAAAAAAACCAAAGTCACAGTTAGGGGGATGACTGAGCTG